TGCCATTGTTGCGAGCGGCGTTGTTAGCCATTTTCGGCGTATTATCACTTTTATGAGTTTTTCGGTCATTTTAGCTCGCGATACGATCGTTATCTCCTTCCTGCGCGTTATAATACTCGCTATTTTTTAAACTCCAAGCAGAGCAAAATATCGCCGGTCATCGAGAATTTAATAAGAGTTCAATTAAGGATAATTGTGACACCGCAATATTACTTCTCGACGATGAGATCTTTAACAGTTACATAAAATCGTTAATAGCCATCGTGAAATTACCTGTTATATATCATTCGAATATATCGCTGATACGGATTGAAATGTCGCATCAAATATTTCATATGAGAAATTAATTTTTTCGATTACATAAATTTATGCGATATATCTTACATAGAAATTTAATAAAATTTTAATGCAGATCGCGCATTAAAATAAGAAAGATTTAAACAAGCTATCCGTAGCGGCGATTATCGAAATAACTGCGCGATATTTCATGCAAATGGCCAAGTTTCCTTGATGATTTATCCGTAAGATTCTCCGTTCCCAATTTGTACCTTGTGGAACCAATAGAACGACAAAGGACCATCAAGAGAGCGCGCTCTAGGACTCTTCCGGATAAATCGATTCCTCTTACTATCTATCCATCCAATGGTGGCTCGTCTCCCGGAGGTCGTCACCGTCGTTGTCGGTTGCCTTTTCTCTCGCTCCTGCACCGAGACAAATTAACGCTCCGACTATTCTCCTTTTACCTATCTACCTGCCAACGTTGACAACAACGTGCACCACTTTGCCGAAACCACTTGCTCTTCCCCGATACCGAGGGCTCCGGTAATTAACATAATTCACGATGAAAAAAAAAAAGAAAAAAACGACGCTCCCGCGACGTCAAGGAGCGGCGCGAATTGCGGCGAGAAATCGCGGCGAGGCGGAAATGAAATGCGGATGCGAGAGTGGAAGCTCTAATGAAAGGGCTCTCCAAGATTCATCCGTGGATTCTGAGAGTTGTGCACTTTCGAGAATACCCCAATATTTTTCGTCTTCTTTATCTTTGAAGCGGGGAAAGTATTTGAGGTTTATTAACATTTTGAAGCTAATGCAAGTACGTACGTAGATGAATACATATAGGAATAAAAGCGATTGAATAATGATATTACATACGAGGTAAAAATGATAAAAATTAAACAATTTAAAAAAATATATTTAATTGAAAGAGAAAAAAATATAATGTGTAAAATATCCATACAAATTAAGCAATATTCCAGTTCAGTGTATGCGTTCCGAGCCTTATCTAATAGCCATTTTTAGTCGCGCGATAAGTAATACCTCGTTCTCTCGATAAGTATATACGTGAATTAAATCGAGATAAAGTTGCGGTAAATAGCACGAACACGCTCGATAATAATATACTCACAATCAGTATATTTAGTCGAAGGACATTTGATACACTCAATATATCGGTGTGCGTTTTCCAACGAGAGAATTTCGTCGATAAAATCTTCAAAGAATTCACAAAGAAACGGTGAGTCATTGAGATTAATTTAACAAATAAATTAAGTGTCAATAGAATTCAGATTTAAATGATTGTATATCGATATCAAAATGAAATACATGGTAGTCGAACGCGTAAAAATGCGATCTCGAAATTGAACCAGATAAAAGAAACGTCGAGGAGGAGGAATGGTGGTTAAAGTGAGGGGCTGGGCTCACATAAATGCGATATCCCGATAACGAGACAATAATGTGCGGTGGCCCGTGCCAATAATTTCAATTTACCGGGTTGCAAAGGTTTAACTAATTGTAAGAGTCCTTGAGAAGGGTGTTACACCAACATAGACGATGTATTTGCACCTGTGCGGACCATGCAACGTGTATAGCGTGAGATGCGAGAGCATCAATTTAACGCCGCAGTAATAATTCGCGCGCGTCTCGTAACTAAATTACATTTATAAATGAAAAAGTTCAACTCTTCTACTTTTTTTTTAGGAAATATTATATTTTAGGGGAAAAGATACTAACATAAAATATTTCATCCAGGCTCTCTTTAATTTTAATCAACGAGCTGTAATTTCTCTCTCTACCATATATTTACTAAATATTTTATAAACGCGTTTCTTTTATTAATATTTCCAGTTTGTTGTTTTTATGTTGTGATTATTCCAATTACAATCACTTAATTTTGTTGAAAATTTTTAATTACAACTTATAACGTATATATGAATTAATTATTAATATGTATACCAGCAAGATAATTGAATCAATGAATAAAAGATAGAATTCTGTAACTCCTTTTTGCAGCGTCCTAATTTCTATCATCGACTATCTATCGTTTTGCTTTCTTTTTTTCTCTCTTGTCGCAATGATTTGCAGTCTCGTTTCTTAGGCCCAGGAGAGACTCATTAAGGAATTCCGTGTCGACTTGGGAAATCGCAATTATTCTCCGCGAGTTCTTGCGGCAATCAGTGCGTGGCGACATCGTCGTAGGTATCGCGGGACCAAATCTGCGCGCTATTTACCGCAAAATTCGAATCCCCGTTGGGACCACCGAGGATATTGGGTTGCGGTTAGGAAGATCGGAGATTGTATTTGTTTTGGCGACGGCGAGTTTTTGCCGATTTTTACTAACAATAAGCACAAAAATATATATAGTGGTCAAGTTATCGTTTTTTTTATGTTCTGGTATAAATTATCACCCTTGTGTGAAGTCATCCTTGACTGAATCATCCGACGAACTGTGTCCGATATCGTTCATTCAGACGTGATTAATCATTTAATTTGCATTTAATTAGCGTTACAAACGAATCGGTGATCTAATTCTGCTGTACTTTCGCTTTCAATAAATTCAATGAAAATTCTATTTATAATATCAATATATATAATCGATACACTATTTGCCATTCAGGATGTAAGTATATTTAATTATTTTCCGGGATTAATTTAAGGCTTAGAATATTCCATATTTTCCTCCTTCGATTAACTGTTATGTATAAAGGCAATCTTTGTTGTCATTTTTTTGTCAGCGTCAAAGTTTACATCAACATTAGGCACGGGAAATTGAACGAAATACACGCCAGTTTACAAACATCGACCGATGCTCGAAGTCGAACAATAGACATGTTTTACCCAGTATTTTTAAAAGTAGAGGAGATTGCAGGCAAGCGCTCAGTTTCGCTCCGAGCGTCAGAGAGATGACGTCGCGTGTTAAAATCGGAAATAAAGTAGAGTGTTCTCGAATAGTGCGCATTAAAGTTTAATCCAGATACAAAGTCTGCACATTTCTGTATTCATCTCTTGCAGATCTCGCCAGAAACCATATCTCTTAATATAAAGCAGGTACCATTGTATTCTTTCTTAAACGAATTATATTAATTATATATTGAAATTGAAATAATACAAAGACGAAGTATTACATGATATAGTTGAGTTATCTGATTATATAAAGGTCGTAAAAAACAATTCTTTAAATATGTATTTTCGTTGATATTGAATCGAGATAACGTTCTTGTGCAATACTATTTCCATAAATATCCGTTAACGGGAAAGAACCTGTTAAACAAGAACATAGATAGGGTCCCCTAAGTGCAGCTCCAGGAATTCTTACAAAGAGCATAGATAGTGCTTGTCGCGTACAAGCATGACGTATAAGATTTTCTCCTTAAAAAGCGTGAATAAGAGAAAACAGCTGCGCGTGATCTCTTTATTTTTATCTAGTTCTTAATGCAAAGTAAAAGAAATCTCCCCATTGTTTGCATTTTTAGCATTCAAACTGTAATCGGCACAATATAAAATTTAAAAAAATTAGAAATATTTCTGAAATTTATGCAGTTTCTACGAGATTCATTGAAATTCATTGACTGTAGCTTTTCTTAAAAATTCTAACTTATTGTGGAAACGAGAGAAAGCCTTACACATAAAGCGTCACATGTGTGGATCTGCCTCTTTAACCTTGACCCTCATAACAATCGCAAACTTCTTTTATCGTGGGTGAATCATCCTTTCTCTTCCCCCTGTTGCTCGCCATAAACGTGCTTTGTGCTTTGTCCTCTGATTTGAGTGTTATAAGTATATGCTCGATCTTTTATTACGTTTATTTTTTTTTTCGTTTGTGGCAGGAATCGCGCAGTACCAATCGCGTATCCATATATCCTTCGTCATAAAGTAAGCAAATCAATAATAATTTAATGTGTTACACAGACTATTTAATTGTATTAAATATATATCTGTATATAAATATAAATAATTAATTTTTAAAAAATTTGAAATTATTTCAACGTTTGAAATTATCTCTACGCTTATATAAATATATAGACCGATATATAAATAAATATAACGATAAAACGATGAGATATCAAAGAAAATATCACGATGAGTTGTAAAATCCGGAGAAAAGCCCCTTTTATTTTATTATAGACGGAGATAAACACGAAACGAGAGAACTTGGCGCGCGAAGGACTTTTCCTTCGTCTCGCTGTAAATAAAGGAGTGCTTGATACGCGTGTAGCATCAACCACCGTGTCGGCATATGGTATTCTCGCGTTAACCTTGACCCTCGTATATATCGCCGCCGATGGTGTATCCAGTATCCACCACGCCCCAGTCGGTGAACCATCCCCATTACTTCCCCGTAAACGCTTTTATCTCGGCTTGCGCGAGCGAACGCGCGCGACTGCTCTACACACCGTTCATTCCTCTTTTTTTCTTGTCTCTCTCTTCTACGATTATATAGAACTCGCGGGTATCTCGCTGCTGGCTCGTATCGATCTCTTCGCCCGCTGAACATCCGCCGCCCGATGTGCTCTCTTTCTTCATCCACTGAGATCACTCGTGCATCGAATATTCAATACGATATCGGATAATGCGAGGTAATAAATTGAAGACTTGACGCGACAGAGAATCTGCCGGTGCCATATTCTGACGTTATGATTTTTTTTTTTTTTTTTTTCGTTGAGAAGGGCCTTAGAAATCGCGAAGGATATTTTCTGTATTTCTTTTCAATTTTTTGTTTTCATAATATTTAAGAAATAGATACGAAGGATGAAAGAAAGTGATAATATTGTGACACTTTTATACGTTGTGCGTTTTTTTTTATACGCATTATATTTCTATGGGATTTTTAACGTCTTCGATTTTTAACCAGCGCATTAACATATGCGTAAAAATACGGAGAGAAACAGCTGCCATAAACGACGAAGGCCAATACCAAGTATAATTAGTTTTTCTCCTTATGGGCAGAGAATAGTTCAACATGGATCTATGCGACCATTCAAACCAAAGAATTCGCTTGAAAAAATGCCTTTGTGCATGTAGGCCCAGACTGCCGACTTCCTTCATTGGTAGCTAGTCCTTCTCGGAGTTGAAGGCTGAGCCGACCAACTGCGACATACCTGACCTAACGAAACTTTGTTCCGGTAAATTCTAGCCTGACTCGTATCGAAGCATTTACGCTCGGAAACGTGATTAACGCTTTACTACAACGCCGACGCTCCCTTGTTTGTTCGAGCCTAAATTCGGTTACAATCGAAAAGCTAAGTGGATGAAGAAGGCGTATTGTTCATTGTGACAAAAGTGCAATGACGTTCAAGCAAAGTCAGTCGGTCATTTATTATAAATTTCCTCGTTTAAAAGAATTTTTTACAAAGCGTATTCTGAATATTCTCGATCATTATTCAGCATCAGCAAATGCGCGATACTTTTTTTTTTTCCGTGAAAGAGAAAGAGATTGATCCTTATGCCACTTTAAGACAATAAGTAAAACAATGGTCAATGTAACTTTCTGATGCAGGGCGAGCAGCATCGAGAGAGCCCGAAGGAAATCCTGGACTTTTCTTGAAATGTTCGAGGAACTCGCTGTATCGTGGAGGAGAACAAAACGGAGACGAGGCATGGGGAGAAAAAAGAGAGGAGAAAAGCGTTGCTACAGGCGTCAGGATGAAGGTACACGTATTCTTTTTAAGGCGGAACACTTTACTGCCGCTCGTTTCAGCGGCGGTAATGGAGGGAGCCCCGGCCACCCTCGAGGAATTAATTCGGGGCTAAAGCCGGGGCGAGACCATCCTCGCCGATATCGAGTCGCTCGCCCGGAAGTGTTAGTGTCTACTTACCACTCCTTCAGTTAACTTTTTACTTTAGTTGACCGCATTAGCGCGCGGTCTCCCGTTTCGCGGAGACACCGGGGCGATTTCTAATTTAGCCACTAATTTAAGCGTCGCGGTGATAGTTGGCTCCCCCGGAGAGAGAATCAGATAGTGAAATTTCCACTTCGACGTGAAGGAAGGTGAAACCTTTCACTATCCTTCTTCAACGGGATTCTATTTCGTGCGAGACATTAATTTTCTTACTCGCATATCGCGTAATAATAATCGCAATCAATATTATTATAATTTATATGATTATTTTGCATCATCTATTAATAATTATATCTAAAAAAAATCTCTTCGTGATGATATATATATACAGAGAACTTTATTCTAAAAATATAAGGCGTAAACACAAGAAGCGCAATATTAGGTACTTAACACAAGTGTAATTGTGATATCAACGCGTCGATTACTGAAACGTTCGTGCATCCGTCATATCTCTCAGAGGAATCGCTGTCTTATGCTCTTTTGACAGACGGTGTAGGACAGCTCGTAACTCAAGCTTGTCATTGTGCTTGAATTTCACTCGCCGCAAACTGCGGGATGCCTGCCGAGCGAGAGCCTGTGGTGGATGCATACCTCGCGTCAGCCTCACTTCGTCCTGTGTTTAAACCCGAAAGTCCCAGAACCTCCTTTCTTCCTATTTACCCTGGTGTCCTGAAGATTCTTGGCGCGGTTGTGCCGTCTCCCTTCTCGTGTACCCGTTTGCCTCGTCGAAGCTTCTCTATTCATCCCCCGAGACGAGCAACGGTACAGACGTCGGCGCGAGCGAGACGACCGCAAACCGGCGGCTAGAATAGAGACAGAGTGAAAGAAAGAGAGAGAGAGAGAGCGGTGACGCGACGGAGACGCGACGAGATCGAATCCCCACCACCGTCGTCGCGGAAACGGCCGAGCGAGAGCCGAGGCTCGCCGAAGCGGCCGCCGCTCATCGTCAGTCGCGCGCGAGACGTGCACCGTGCAAGGTCGCGTTCGCTCAAGCCCCTCCGCCGTTCTTTCCGCCGATTGTGCGCGTGGAAAATCTCGAGATGCGGCGCAGCCGGCCGTCGTCAATCGTGCGCGTGCGTTACATCAGCGTTGCTTCGCTCGATCTCTCGATAATACCGGGAGCCTGTGCTCTGCTAATATCGTGATGTATAATTCTCTCATCGCGAGAGAGAAGAGTGGCGGTGATTATCTCAATGTGTGGGTCACGCTGTTACGAGTATTCCACGTAGCCTTGGCTGATCGGACATTTTAGTGAGTAATTTTTTTTTCAATCGATTATTATAGTGCATCGGATAAGGATTTCGAAGTCACGAGTGTCCGGAAATTTCGTGTTCTTGAAAAGCTAGGAGTGTCCGATATTGCAAGTCGTGCAAGTAACCACGAATGATTAATTCGAATTCGGAAATTATCTCTACGTCTTATCGGCGATTATCCGTTTATCGTAGCATCTCTCCTATCTTTCCCGGATATCTGAATAATAGCGGTCGCGTAGGGAGAAGACTCGGGCTGATATTGAAAAATGAGTCGCGACTATTTGCGGGTAACCTTGAGCTTACGATTAGAGGAGAGACCGAGCATAGAGTTGTGCGGTGACAACTCTTTGTTACGCGACGCGTGCGGCATGCGATATGAGACTCGTGATACGAGAATACGTGCGAGTATCAATATTCAACGGATCTTGTTTTGCGCGAGAGAGCTCATGTTTCTCCGCTCTCTTTGTATTTTCCCTCAATCGACTTTATCGGGAGAAAATCGGTTATAGCAAATCGGTTATAGCAAATCGGTTCCGCTACAAAACGCGTTTGTATCTACACACTAAAAGGTCTCTGTAAAAAATCCACACACACACAGAGACACCGCAATCTTTTACAAAATATATAACAATTCATTTAAATAATAAATCGTCGATAAATGAAGGATCAAAAATGTTTCTTGATATCACGTTGTTCTCTAAAAATCGAACCAAGGCATTCTTGGGCATAAAGATTAAACGTTTCAGACACTCTCGACTTAATAACTTTATTACTTCTACGCGCGCGTGGCGGAGAGATCGTAATAAAAAGGAGGGATCGTAAAAAAAAAACTCGATCCGCGAGAGTTAGTTGATAGAGCTTCGCGTAGATTGCGAGAAGCTGGCGAAAGCGTTTCGTCATCCAGATGACGATAACGAACGATTATTCGCGGGTTATCGCACGCGTGTCACGTCATCGGGGGATCGTTCGCGCGCGGTTTACGCCGATTCCGACGAACGAGCTCTCGACCCCCGGAATCGTCGCGCGGGTACAATTTCCGCGAGCAATCCTCCTGCCGTCTGTACATCCTCCCCTCTTCGTTCCTCTCTCTCTCTCTCTCTCTCCCTCGAACGTCGGCTGGACCTCTTTGATGCGTGCGTACATTCGTGCAGTTTCCGCGTTTTGTATCGCGCAGCTTCGGCGCGGACGGAAAACTCGCCGCTCTTGTACGTGTACCTATGTGTGTGTACTTTCGGCGTCGAACAGATCGATCGGTCACAAACCGTCCCCCTCCCCCTCCCCTGTGTTTCTCGTTGTGTCGTTCAGTCGCGCTCGCCCATGTGACTAACTAGCAACGACGATCCAACGTCCAGCATCGCTGATCATTTCTCGGCCATCGAATCTCTCGTCCCGTTCGGATCCCCACGCTCGTTTTGATCTCGCTTTGTGTTTTTCCTTTTCTTTTACCGATGCTGTGGATATTTAGCTATTTTAGTTCGGACCATAATTGAATAAATAAATCTGCGAACACGTGGAACGAGATTAATCGCGTCCCCGAAGAGCGTGTACTTTTTTTTCTGTTAATGTTTTAATTTTCACACGCGAGGCTCTTAATTAATTAGCCGGAAGTATCAATTCGATGTATTTTTTAAAGCCAATTAACTTGGATCTCGTCGTGGCGAGTAAATGGCGATAAAAATGTCAGCAACAATGCGTTGTCGCGGGTCGGATGTAAAAATAATAGAAACTAGATATGTCTCTTTCTCTCAAGGCTAACAGACCGTATATTATTATCCCTCTCAGAAACATAGAATCGTACGCTCGGTTTATCTACGTCATATTACCTCGCGAAAGTGTTTATTGCGCTAGTAACATCTTTCGAAGACTATAAACACGAACGGCCCAAGGCTTCGTTCTCCTTTCTGATCGCTTCTTCCGTCAAGCGTATCTATTTCAATCTACGAGTCCCTATGTATCATTGTCTTACGTTTAAACGATTACAATGTCTCGGTTAACTTCCATTTTTCTACGACGTAGGTCAGAGACGGCGTAAAATAGCAAAAATCGTGTAAGAAAAACCGTAATATTGATTTAATTATTTTCGTCTTGCACGGTCAAGAGATTGAATTAAATATAAATCTCTTCGTATATCTTGCGATCTCGTTCTCTTATAAACTATCGTGAATTTACGATGTGGGAATTTTTGATGTCTAGAAAGCCGGAGGGGGGTGAACCGCTGGGGAATTTTGATGTTCCGTAGTGTAAGGCCAATGTATTAGTTATTACGTAACTTTTCTTCATCCTTATGTAGCGTGAGGAGAATACGTTTCTTCGAGTTTGAAAACGAACCTCACCGAACTCTGGCCTCCGTGTACATATAAGAGAATTACATGTAGGAGGAGGGGGGTCTGTTTTTTTTTATTGATAGTGCGACGATCAAACATGGACGTGCGCGAGCGATGTAATGGGAAGGGAGATATAAGGGTGGAAAGGGGGGTGGCCCGTCGAGAATTTCCGAATGCAGCAACATACCGGCGGGAAATCCGCCGTATTTATAACGGCCGCACGTGCCTCTCTCTCTCTCTCTCTCTTTCTCGTTCTCTCCTTCGAGTGGCGGCGATGAATAACTGATGCCATATCCAATCAGTAAATGGAATCCGCGCGGCCGTGGCCGGAGAGAGCTCCTGCTCCGCTAACAAGAATTTAAGACGCGAATTTCAGAGCAAATCTCGCCCCACGTACATATACACAGATAACGCGAAATTGTACACGAGATACTAAGGCGATTTTAATTCACGGCGACGGTCGTTGATCTTACATCCGACAGCAGAATTGATCACGGTTAATTTATCTGTCCCGGAATCGCATTAATTTTGATCGAAAAGAAATGATATGCAACGTTTATCCAAGCAAATTCCATTTTCTAATTTTGTCGAGATTATTTCTGTCTGCCTTTATGGCGAGGATACGGTTGCAAAACTTGTCCGCTATGTACTTGGCTATGTACAGTTAATTCGTTAGTCGACGAATTAGATCTTTAATATTTAACGCAAGCTCTAGCGGGTGCATTTAATATGAATACATTCAAGCGGGTTTACCAACACAAGAACAGGCATCTCTCCGTAGTTGAGATTAATGTATAACATGCAAGTAATATTAAACAAAGGGGTACACTGAAGTTTTAATAATTCAAATGGAAATTTTTGCGCATAGGATATCAACCTCCCTCGATCTTGAACTTTTTCTTAAAATCAAGAGTTTTGACAGATTCATCGTAATATAAAATACGCAGCATAAAATTAACAATTATGATTTAAATGAGAATCAGTACTTTAATAAAGTAACATTCTCTGTTGAAGTTTCTAATTTTATACAGTTTCGCTATTATAATTTTCATTATCAGCACTATTAACTGATATGTCAATTTAAAAAAAAAAAACTTATATTACGTAACATTCGCACTAAAGTTTTTCAACGCTTTATTATCATATCTTTGCGACGATTGAGAACGAGAGAGGTTCTCTCAGTCCAAGGTTGGGAGATCATGCGTGTTGTATAATAGCCACCGCGGTTCAACGAGATCTCGAAACAGAGCAGGGCCGTAGGATCGGGCACCTGCTCTCTCGATGCTATTTCCGTACACGCGGCGATTGAGCGGGTCGGCGAGAAGACGAATCGACGCCAAGAATTCTGCGAATGATCGAACGCAAGCCGCATCCTCGCGGGTAGCTTTGAACTCTATGTGTTTAATCTGTGAATGATCGTTATCGATTCTACATCAAGTTTCGACATGAACGGATTGGCCAAAGCGCGAAATTTCGACATACAAAAGCAACATATCGCATTTAGACGTTGCTTAAATTATCGTGCTTATTTTAATCGGTAATCTATTTATATTTAAATAGATTTATATTTATATTTAAAAAAAGAACGTCTTTTCTCTTTTGAAAGAAATATGAATACTTGTAAAGAAACGTGCTATGTACGCTCAAATATTACTGAGAACTGATAAGAATACTGTTTGACTTGGAATAAAAGTACTATAAAACAGCGATAATGTTGTAGAAAAGAGATAGATATTTTAAGATTTCAATATTTTATCTGTGGTTTGAAATGAATTCTTCATTTAAACAGATCTTGAAAAAAGATATTTTTATTGTTAGATACGTAAATGTTTATCTCTTCTGGTTATACCTCATTATTACGTAATTCATTATTTATTATTCATATTTTAAACTCGAATGACTCGAGTTACTACATTGTAAATCACTTCCACAACGTAGTCTCTGTGAAAGAACATCTTTTATTTGTGGACCACAGACGTCACCATGCCGGGTTTTCTCTCCGTCATCTCACTCCGAGCAGGATTGACTCGTCGCCGAGGACGAAAGTGAAGGAAGCATCGGCGAAACTCGGAGAGAACAGGGGCAAGTACTATGCCCGGCTAATCGTTATCAGCGTCTGTTATCGACATAAGAAAGCGGTTGACAGAATTTACCGAGTAACCGACAGCAGGCAGGCCTTCACAGGACGCTTTGCACAGTCCGTTGTGCTCTCGAACGTGACTCACTCGGTTCGCCAAAGGAGAACGGAAATCTTGTTTATTTGAGAGAGAGAGAGAGAAAGGAATGCTTGTCCTTTGTGACGTTTATCGCTGTGTTCAATTGTTCCGAACAATTCGTAGTCCTCGCTCTCCTGATGCGATGCGAGATTATTAGTTCACTGAAGATCGCGCGCGGCAACACACGTGTCCCGACAATCAGGTCGAATATAATTTAATCACGTTGGTAGATAGAGATATTTATATGAAACGAGACTATATAAGGAAGAGAGCGATTATTCATAGAAAGTAAAGACGTGGAAGATATTTTAGGATTAATATTAATACATGGCACGTTTCAGTTCCTATATGCGTTTCTAGATAAAAGAAATAAAGAGCTACAATGTATTATTCTATTGCGCTTACGCACGTGTGCATTAAACTATAAAAATAAATTCTAAATTTTTATAAAATAGAAAAATACGTGTAGTTGTTTTTGATTTTATTAATATATTGCTGAATAAATGTTAAAATTGTTTTCGCGTAACATTATGGGATTTTCAATGAACAATGTATATATAATCAAATGCTTGAATTTTTTTCAGATATAACAACTCTTCTCGCGAGACAGGCATTCCAGAGCGGAATTATATCCTTCGATAGCCATTTCCCGTGTTTGAAGCAATGCGTGCCCAAAGCCCCTTATCATTCTCCTGCCCGGTGTAGAATTGTTAGACGACTGGACGGAGAACTGATAAGGGCCCGAGGGTCACCGAATCATCGTGGGACTGGATTCATCGCATACTCCTCGTCTGCTAAACGCCAAAAGCACGTGTCTGTGAAGTTGGCACGACGTTTTACGAATTTCAAGAAAAAATTAAGAGTTCTAATAGCACTTTTCATAGTTCTATAGTTCCTGATAAAAATTAAAAAGAGTTCCGCATTCCTTATATTAAAAAATCGAAATTGAAAAAATGTCGTACTAATTTCGCGAATTTAGCACGACACCCTCCCCTCTAAAGTACTAAAACGCATTGAATACTCTTGCCAAAAATGATGATATTCAACGCGTTTTAGTACTTTAGAGGGGAGGGTGTCTTGCTAAATTCGCGAAATTAGCACGACATTTTTTCAATTTCGATTTTTTAATATAAGGAATGCGGAACTCTTTTTAATTTTTATCAGGAACTATAGAACTATGAAAAGTGCTATTAGAACTCTAATTTTTTTTTTGAAATTCATAAAACGTCGTGCCAACTTCACAGACACCAAAAGCACGTGGGGAAAGCAACATCGCCGCGGACTAATATTTATTATGACAATTCGTTATTTAATAAGTTATTATTAATTATTAATTTCCCATATATTTTTAAATTTTTAGATTGACGAACATTTATAATCAAGAATAAAACAATATATTTTTCAGAACAGAATCAGATTTATATATGATTAATCAATAAAAAAAGATTATTTATTAATTTAGTTTTATATGTATCTTAGAATCTAATCTATCTATCTATATATATATGTATGTGTCTGTATGTATTTGATAATTAAAATAATTTTAAATATTTTTATAAATATACAGTGTGAAGGGATTTATCAGGATGAGAATAAAATGAATGATAATTCTAAATAAAAAACTGTTTTATTATAAATACAATAAATAATACAAAAATCTGGTAACTCCTATCACTTCACATTCCTCTATATACATATTAAGGACAAATCTGTTACATCAGTCTATGTTTTACATTAAATAATTATTTGTCGAACACATAATTTAACAGTTAAAATCTGATAAAACTTATATAGACTTGTTTTAGAAGTAAAAAAAACTTGTCAAAAGCGTGTAAAATAAAAATTTTCATGAACGTCACTTTACCCTCAGTGATGGTATAATTCATAGAATCGATTCATTCGACTAAATGATAGTCTCTAGTCATTCGCTAACCGCAAAGAGTTTCGTCAATTACCAACGCACGAACGTTTTCGAGAGCGATTAGTTACGTTCCCGTACTTTTAGACGCCGCGTTTTCCATCTCGTAATTCGGATTAATCTGAATGACCTGCCTAGCCTCGCACAATTTCCTCGGCTGATTTTGCACGATAAGTATTTGCTTCGTTTCTTCGGGCTTCTCCGGCAAAAACTGATTAACCCCCACGATCTTCAATGCCGGCAAACCTTTTATGATCGCGTTCGGAAGTGCGAGATTTGCGGTGCCACAATCCACTTTCGGGAAGATCACTGGATTCTTTGTTATTGACACAGCAGATTTCTTCACCGGCATGTTCGGAGTTTCCGTGTAAGAGCCTGATCGTTTTACGGGAATACTATTGGCCGATATCGGCATCGTCAATACCTCCGGATTATTAACTGATATTATTTTGGATCCAAGAACTATCCCGTTTCCTGATTATCAAAATTAATTGAAATTAAGATTAATTGAATTATTTACTTAATTATTACATTATTACTTAAAATTAGATTTAATGAAATAAATTTTCTTGCTATCTCTTTATACATATACATCATGGATAAGAATAGAATATTTTAAAAAGGAACATGCAAAATTATGTTAAATTATCGATGTGACAATTTTTAGAAAACCAAGTAATACATTAACAACTTGCCTTTCTGCATCGCTTTCGTAATCGGACAATCTTTGTGCGCTAGCAAAATAGTCTTCAGCTTCGCCACTTCCGAGCGTAGAGCCTTCACTTCCATTTGCAAAGCTGCATTCGCCTCGTTCACGTTAGTGACTGTTCTCTGGAGGTCTTGAATCCACGCCTTTCTTTTAGCCCGCGCACGCATAGAACTGGCACGATTGCGCTCGAGAATATCTTTCTTCTTAACCTGATCGTTTGTTTTCTTGACATTTTCTTTTTTTGATATAGCGGTCGCGCCCATTTTTGTGTTTTCTTCTGTCGATTTTTGATTCTGTGCGTTCTTAGATAAGGTTTGTTTCAGCTTCTGTAATGCAATTTCTAAGAGATTCATCTTGAAATGCGAATTATATTGTGGTACAACTTAATATAAGTTACCATTTTCGCCAAGGATAATCTAGAAATCATAGTTTTCTTGGATTCCGATTTTACTATGCATCGCAGAGCCGGTTCGGTTTTTATAACGACGGTTTGCTGTTTGGCGCTAACGTTGGCCACATTGGAAGACTCGGACACTGTTGTCGCAGATAGTTGCATCAATTTACCATCCGCCGTTTTTAATAGCAGTTGTACCTCCTCGCCATTGATGGACCTTCGCAAAAGAATCCTAGATTTGTTAATTATGGAAAATGCTATCGTAATAATTTTAAATATTTTTAGATTAAAAAAGATATATAATTAACTCATAAAATATATAAAAATTTAATTTCTCTTATTTTCTGTTACTTGTAATAAAATGTGTGAAAATTTTATAAGAAAAAAAAATTCTTACAGATGCGATGAAAGTTGTGTCGGCGAAAGCTTAGACGCTACAGGTGTATTTGTATCTGAGACAATGATGTTTGGTGCGAGAATACTATTTTTCGCAGACGTAATATTTGCGTCTTTCGTCAATTCCTGCGTCTCATTTGTACTTATTTTAATACTGTTACATTCGTTCGATTTTATAGTATTACTCTCCTCTGTTTTTTCGATAAGAGACACAGTTGAAGAGCAATCTTCAACGTGGTCTTCAGAAAGGATTTGACTACTCGCAGGTAATACATCTGATATATAAGGAAAAATATGTGGAGTATGGAGTGTATCATCTGCAATTCCAACCTGCAAAAAATGATTCTGTCATATACATATTTCTGGTATAGGTTTTTTTCTATAAAAAAAGAGTATTGTAAGTTATTTTTATAAAATCTATATGAATTATATTTGATAAATGTATATTTCTTGTTGTACCTCTGGAACTGTAAGTGTGCCTGTATTTCCAGTCTCAACAGCTCTTCGAAATGTTTCTTCGAAAGGATTGACTTGAAGATCTTGAAATAAACCAACTTCCTCACAATTTTTGAAAAATCTTGTTGGCGTTGGAGTTTGATCTGCTACATCGTAAATTAATCTTTCAATACATCTATTTTTAATATAATATGCATAAATCTCAAGTTGTCAAATATATCTTACCAACAAATCCAGCGCTTTTGGGATTATTACCAAGATTAAGCATCATGTCATGCTTTTTTTTGTGCATTGTTAATTGATCCTCATTCGTAAAACTCTGTAAATGAGAAATAAAAAGAATAAAGTTCTGTTATTTCTTATACTTATAATAGTTCTCTTAACCAGTTTTAAAATAACTCTTTTTTTTTTTCAGCGCAAGAAAGTTGTCACTTACCATATTGCAGCCTGATGTGGAACAAGCAAAGAGCTTCTCTGTATCAGTCATTGCGGATATGTTTTGATGAATTCTGTGTACTCCGGATTTCTTTTAGATGCAGCACAATAATTTACGGAATACAGAAGTATACTCCCAGTTAGAGAATGTGATCAATAATTGCTGTTTACGAATATCCCTATCACCATATAATTTAATTTCTTAACCTCGATATAACTAATAGAATCACATTTGCAGGTACACAAGATTTGGGCTGCGTTCGGGAGCTTTTTTCGCTCGGAATCAGCTGTAGCCATATTGATACGCTATTTGACACTGGCTTTATTGACAGATACGTGCTGCCATCTTATACAAAGAAGAAGTGGGAAAGAATGAACAACTTGTGTAGTCGGTATTACCTTATCAAAATGTATTCAAATATTTTTCCATATTACGATCTTTTATATATTTTCCAGAGACGAAATATTTAAAATTTTATCTATAAATAAATCTTCCCCATAAAATTATTTAATAAATTTAATGTAATGATAAATGTATGTTGTAATATATATATATATATTTAAATATTACAAAGTTAGCATATTAACAACAATACGCGCTATCCGCTGCAAAAATCGACTCTAAAAATCACATCTTTGTATTTCTGTCTGTATGTATCTGTGTATATTTATGAGTGCGCTTGATTAGCGTTAACTAAAGTTTATAGTTTTTCTATTTTTAAATATCTATGTGATATATATATCGTAGATTCTAGACTTTGTTTTTCAGAAGCAATACTGATATTAAAAGCGCATTAATAAATGCTAATTTAAAAAATTTAAATGGTTGTATGAATATTAAAATCGCTATTTGGAATAAAAATAGAGATGGCAAAAAGTTAACAAGGGGTCTTAGTATATGTATTAATTTGTATTCATTAATCCGCACAGTGACATCGATCAATGTGTCTAATAGTCGTTCTATCTCGCGATTTATCAGTAGCATCCGGAATTTCGTAATTGATTTATAAATAATCCGTGCGGAGTCATCGATCGATAGCCAATAATCATCGTTTATTCTCATATTAATCTAATAGAAAAATCATCGCTTGGGAGATTCGTGATACGTCTTATGATTTATCGATGGCATCCAAAATTTCCTGACCTAAATAATCCGCGTGGAGTCTTCGACCGAGTAATCCACGTGGAGTCTTCGATCGATGGCCAATAAGTATAGTCGCTCGATCTCGCGATCCAATAGAAAAATCACTTTTGCAAGTATCGTCAAATCGCCAATATATTTCGCGTCTTATTGGTTGCTGGCGTCCAGAATTTCATCTCTCTTCATCTTCCTCGCGGAGTCTTTATTTCCTGGGAAGGCACGCTCGACCGAGCACGGCTCGGCTTCCGCGACCCCTTATCGCATTACACACATAAAAAACTGAACTAAGACACCGGCGCTTTTGACAATTTCGTACAACTTTCAGTAAGCGTCGCAGATCACCGATTAAGATGAGAGATAATCGGTTAAAGGTGTGAGATGATACGTTTTAACATGTCCAAACTGTCATCGAATTTCTTATCTCGCACACGTGCGTTACGTCTCAATTTAGTTACTTACACAAACTTATTTCATATAGCTTAGTTTCTCACACAAGCTCGCTTGTAACATCAGTGTAATTACGCGAGCATTTTCTTGAAAGTAAATTCATCA